CCCGTGCTCCCCGGGCCGACGTTTGCCCCTGGGGTCACAGGGCTGTGCTGACTCCGCTCACACAGCGGGCCAGGAAGCCGTGGGAAAGGAAAATCATCCAGCCAAATTCACTCCTATAGCATCCATACAGGCTTGGCAGAGCCTCCTTTTGCGGGGGAAGGGGTGGTGTTTGTTGGGTTTTTTGTCAGGTTTTGGTTGGGTTTTTTTTGTTTAATATTATGTTCCATAAATCTCTTTTGAATTCTAAAACATTTTAAGGCGCTAGTCCCAAGGAAACCATAACAACCTATTTCCTAGCTACCACCCCGTCCCAGCCTAGTGCTAAGCATATTAATCACTACCCTGCTACGGTCCTTGGTTGGTTTGAGGTTTACAGGTAAGGAAATCTACTCATCGGTCAGCCTCCAGGCACGTTTCTTGTTTCCTCACCACCAAGCCACCCCCAGGACGCCCCGAGGGGAACCTTACAATGATCATCTGATCTCTGGAGCCCTTGCAGAGCTCTTTTGCCTTCTTGCTTTTCTGGGAGGTGCGAGATGTTTTTGCGGGTGGGCTGGACCCAAACGGAGCGGTCAGTTCATCCAGCGGAGCCTGCGTCCTGAAAAATCATTTCAGAGAGATGAAAATTAGTCCCTGCAGACACAGGTGAACCTTATAGGTTGGGACTCTCATTACAGAACACCCCAAACTACAGGAAAGCTTGTGACAGCTGTGGTGCCAGCTCCTCTGGGGGAGGGAGGGAGGGAAGGAAGGAGAGGGGCCACAACTGCATCAGAAGTTAAGTAACTCGTGATAAAGCACCTCTCCCGTTTCCACAGCCATCCTATTTCCAGGAAATTCCGTGGTAAAGGGTCATCCAACAAACTGAGAAGCAGAGGGCCAGGTCTGTGTAGTATGGAAACTACAGGTGAGGAAATAAGTGCCCAAGTCCAGCAGCTCCCTCCTCAAACCGCTGCTTACGTTCCTGCCTGCGGCAGCAAGCTGCTCCACTCCGGCAATCTCACACCTGAGTCTAACTGGGATCCAAAAAATGCCAAATCTCCCCTCAACAGGCCCACAGACGTGCTCCTAACTTGTCTATCTTGGGCATACAGTTACAACTATGGTTTGAAGCTGCACCAGGGCAGGTTTAGGTTGGACATTAGGAAAAAATTCTTCACTGAAAGGGCTGTCAGGCTCTGGAATGGGCTGCCCAGGGAGGTGGTTGAGTCCTCCTCCCTGGAGGTATTTAAAAGAAGGACAGATGAGGTGCTGAGGGACAGGGTTTAGTGTGGTGGGATGGCAGGGTTAGGTTAAAGGTTGGACTCCATGATCTCAAAGGTCTTTTCCAACCAAAGTGATCCTGTGAACTATGATCATGCACCTAAAACATGTCTGCTGAGGGGTTGAGGAGCCCTGTGGGTCTGGGACAGATTGAAAGGCTCGGGGAGATGTGGCTATGAATACCCGGGAACATCAGGACAGCTGGCAGAGGGAGCATCTGCCTCGCTGCGGGACCACACCACAACCCACAGCCTGGTCGGAGCAGGTCAGGGATCCACACCAGACCTCTGGACAGGGTGATAGGATCATAGAATCATTTGGGTTGGCAAAGCCCTTGAAGCTCCCCCAGCCCAGCCGTTCCCCTACCCCTGCCATCCGACCCCCAAACCCTGGCCCTCAGCACCGCCTCTGCCCGGCTGTTAAATCCCCCCAGGGCTGGGGACTCGACCATCAAAACTAATGCTACCGCACGGTTAGCCTCAAAGGAGAAAATAACACAGAAATGAGGAAACCTGTTAAAAGGAATGAAAAGGAGAAGTCGAAAGGGAAAAGAAAAATTAGTGGTGGCATAAAAATGGTCTGGTTGTATCCATGAGAGTTTTGGAGGAAATACTGGCCATGCCCCAAAGGACTTCAAATAAAGCAATAAAAAGCCGCAATGGCTGAACAGCAAACGCGGAAAGGTACGAGAAGTAAAGAGACAACCTTTAAAAATGGCGATTGCACCTGGATAAGGAAAAACCAGAGAAGAGCACAGACTCTAGCAAGGGGAACGCAAAACCATGGTGTGGTACCCGCCAGAGGTTTTGAGGAGCATCTGGCAGAAGGTTGCTGGTGAAGCCTTTTCCAAGCACATCGGAAGCAGGAAGCCTTCCGGAGAACCCGTGATGCCAAGTGGAACAACAAGCACTGACAGCGGATGAAGTCAGAGCAGAGCCGCTGGATCAGGCCCAGACCCCCTGCTCAGCTGAGAGCCGCCACCGACCGCCCCCCGCGC